TTCTTCCGTTCAAGCAGACGCTGCAAGAACTGCCTGTACGAAGACAAAGGAGTTTCTGGGGTAACACGAGGTATTTTCACAAGAGGTAGTAGCAGGAAAAGTGGGGCTGCACAGCTCTCCACAAAATACTGAGATAGCTCAAAGGTTCAGTTCTCTGCTCATTTGATAAATCACATCCAGAATCTTCCATCAGAGTTGATATATTTTCAGAACTTCTAGGTTTCTGAGCCAGCACCTAGGAAGATAAATTTCCACTCTTAAATGATCCTGAACAAGGCTTCAACTCTTGTTCTCCATTTCGATTCCTGCTCAGACACCAGCCTTGCAAGATGCTCTCTGTGTCCTGCTTTTGATCAACTACCAAATCCAGAGCCAGTTTTGAAGTTCTCTAATACAACTCTTGAATATCCATCTTGGCTTTTGTCCCCAAGAAATCCACACACCTGTGGGACAGTGTTTCAGAGAATCCAGCCAAATGTACTCTCCTCAATTCAGTCTGGACTTTTTATTTTAATTACTTTTAATGTTGTTGTTGATGATGCTGTACTGGGGATTGAACCCAGAGAGACTCAAAACACTGAGACACAACTCCAGCCCTTTTTTATTTTTATTTTGAGACAGGTCTCTCTAAATTGCTGAGGCTGGCCTGGAACTTGGAATCCTCCTGCCTCAGTCTCCTGAGTCGCTGGGATTACAGGCTTGCACCATTGCACCTGGCTAATTTTTTTTTTCTAATTTAGGAAGAATTTATGTCTTTTTAATGTTAAATCTTCCTTCCAGGAGCTGGAATCTCTCTCTCCCTCTCTACCTACCTAATTAGGTCTTCTTTTGGGAGGGAGGGGGTAACCACGAATTGAACTCAGGGACACTCTTATGTCCTTCAACAACATTTCAAAATGTTCCCCACAAAAGTTTTTTAATTTTTAGAAAAGTTTCTAAAAATTGTATAGATCTTGTTTTTGCTATCATAAACCCAATACTGTGGTTTATTGCTTTTTTATTTATTTATTTTTTTTTTTTTTAAAGAGAGAGTGAGAGAGGGGGACAGAGAGAGAGAGAGAGAGAATTTTAACATTTATTTATTTTTTATTAGTTCTCGGTGGACACAACATCTTTGTTGGTATGTGGTGCTGCTGAGGATCGAACCCGGGCCGCGCGCATGCTAGGCGAGCACGCTACCGCTTGAGCCACATCCCCAGCCCTATTGCTTTTTTAATTGGCTACTGATATAAAAAATATCTCTATTGATTTTTTAATTTCTTGATTTGCATTCAGCAACTTGCCAACTCTTTTTAACTTTAATAGTTTGTTGGTTCTCTTGTACTCTCTACAAAGTAATTAAATCCCCTGTACATACTGACAGTTTTGTCTCTTCCCTTAGAGTCATATCCCTATTTCTTTTCTCATATTTCATTGGCCAGGACATTGTGTCCCTTGTCAAACAAAAGGGATCATTGCAAGTATCATTGTTTGTTACTGACTTTAAAGGGAAGGCTTCTAAAATTTCTTCTTTCCGAATGATGTTTGAACATTTTTACCAGATCTGCCACTTGGGCAATGCAATGTCTAATGGTGTGTTTATTAATAAAGAAATTGAAAACCTCACTTTGAGAGACAGAATTTCTTGCCAATATAACACTGAGCTCCAAACTAAACTAAAAACCGGAGCACATTTTCCCAACTTAAAATAGTTTTAATTGTGCTTTTACCTCCCAGTTTTTCTCATTTCCTTTTGCCAAATTTTGATCAGGGGAATAGAGTATAACAGTACTAGTAGCCATGTGAAAAAAGGATCAAAACTATTTATGGTTAGAGCTATAGATGAACAAATTCTATACATGCTGTTATAATTAATGTAACATAGTTTTCATTGTTACATATTTTTAACATTATATTTTAAGAACAAATCAGTGTTTGAATCCTCTACCTAGAATGAACTAGTTATGTGATTTTAGACAAATTGTTAATTTTTTAAAATATTTTTAGTTTTAAATGGACACAATATCTTTATTTTATTTGCTTATTTTTTATGTGGTGCTGAGGATGGAACCCAGTGTCTCACACATACAAGAAAGGAGTTCCACCCGTAGCCACAACCGTAGCCCCCACATTATTTGATCTTAAATTCACTTCCTCTTATAAATGTGCATTATATACATTCGGTTCATAGGGTTGTTGTAATATGAATAACAATAATAATACAAGATTTTTGTGAGAATTATATGATTTCAAGATTACAACAATTAAATGATGCCTGGCATTACCAATTAGAATTGCATAAACATTTCATTTGAATCTTAACAAAAATTCTAAGGCAGTCAGGGCCTACGTGAGTCTGTATTTTTCTACTCACTGTATAAGTGGGAAAAAATAAATTCAGATACAGAGCTAATATGCAGTAGATATACAACAGCACCCTAACTTGTTGAAATACTTTCATACAGATGAGTAAATAGTCATTGCCTGAGCACCTCAAGTACCAAGTAGCTTCTCTGAAATCCAGAGACCTCCTCATGATCCAGAAACTAAAATGCTAACTCCTGACTGGCAGTAGAAGTTGAGGACAGACCACTTAGTGACCATGGCTCCTGATTATTAAATATTTTGAATACCACATTTGTTTATTGTAAATATCAGGCCTAAAATTTAAACCCAGGTCTTCATGACACCAAGTTCTTATTAGCATAATGGAACAATTAAGGAGGAAAACAATGGACAATAGTTGCATGCATAGGGTTTTTTCTCTTTTTAATTTTTGATTTATATATGATAGTGGAATGCTTTACAATTCATACTACACATATAGAGCACACTTTTTCATATCTCTGGTTGTATACAAAGTATATTCACACCATTTCTTCCCTCATACATGAACTTTGGATAATGATGTCTATCACATTTCTAACCCCATGCCCCCTCCCTTCCCTTCCCACCGCTCTGCCCTATCTAGAGTTCGTCTATTCCTCCCATGCTCCCCCTCCCTACCACTCTATGAATCAGCCTCCTTATATCAGAGAAAACATTCGGCATTTGTTTTTTGGGGACTGGCTAACTTCACTTAGCATTACCTTCTCTAACTCCATCCATTTACCTGAAAATGCCATGATTTTATTCTCTTTTATTGCTGATTAATATTCCATTGTGTATATATGTCACTTTTTTTATCCATTCATCTATTGAAGGGCATCTAGGTTGGCTTCCCAGTTTAGCTATTGTGAATTGTGCTGCTATAAACATTAATGTGGCTGTGTCCCTGTAGTATGCTGTTTTTACGTCCTTTGGATATAGATGGAGGAGTGGGATAGCTGCGTCAAATGGTGGTTCCATTCCCAATTTTCAAAAAAAAAATCTCCATACTGCTTTCCTTATTGGCTGCACCAATTTGCAGTCCCACCAGCAGTGTATAAGTATACCTTTTTCCCCACATCCTCGCCAACACTTATTGTTATTTGTATTCATAATAGCTGCCATTCTGACTGGAATGAGATGAAATTAGAGTGATTTTGATTTGCATTTGTAATGCATAGGTTTGGTTTTAAAACAAAAATACACAACAACAGTGGAATGCATTACAAGCCTTATTACACATATAGAGCACAATTTTTCATAACTCTGTATATAAAGTATGTTCACGCCAATTTATACCATTATACATGTACTCTTTTTTGTATTACAATTCTTAATACACATATATAACACAATTTTTCATATCTCTGTTTGTATATGAAGTACGTTGGCACCAAATTCAAATCTTCATACATGTATTTTGTATAATGATGATCATCACATTCCACTATCCTTGCTAATCCCCCTCCCCCCCTTCCCTTTCCCTTCCACCCCTCTTCCCTATCTAGAATTAATCTAATCCTCCCATGCTCTCCCTTCCCTATCCCACTTTGAGTCACCCCCCTTATATCATAGGTTTTTATTAAGTAAAAAATGCGAGACAGTCCTCAAGAGGGAAGAGAATCTCTAGAGTGTCTTGTATGGAATTAATTGGCCAAATGAGAAGTTTTAAAAGTTCAATATAATAAAGACTGAGCACTAATTTAAAAAATGCATTTTCTTTATATGTTTTATAGCAAAATTAATGTTTTACCATAAAATTTGAAGTTGTCATTGCTTTTATAGTTCCTGTTATATAGAAGCCTTGGAAATATCTGCAAAGGCTGTGGGGATGACGGTAACAACCACTGTTTTGTTGTAGGTTATAATTTTGAAAAGTGTCATATTTTCAGCAGGAAATTTAAGAGAAATTGTATAATTCAAAGTAAGATAAAAGCATATTGCCATCTATTAAATCTCCAGTATTAAAAGTTATAAATTACTTGTAAGATAAAATAGCTAGAGTTAATTGAGAGGCCCTCAAGCAAATAATATACAGATAAATAATCATAGGTCACCTTGAATTTGGGTTTCAAGAGTCTATAAATTTGTAATTTAGGATACGGGATTTTTTCTTACTGTAAAAATTTTCTACTTTTTTTTCTAATTACTGGCAAACATGTCATCTCTCACTTGAAATTGTAAACACTTTGAAATAAAGTCATTGGTCATATTATTTGTATTTTCTCAGAAGAACTAGCACTCGTTAATGGCAGGTATTGATTATAAAATAATGGACAGATGAATTAAATGACAGACAAACTAGCAAAAATAAATTGATTAGTGATGATAAGATTTCTAGGCTAGCCCAATTCACTTCCCCAATTAAACTCAATAAACATTTATTGATCCTCTACTCTGGGCTAAGTACTTGAACCTTGTAAAACTACAAGACCTACAGTGTTTGTTCCAATTAATCTAATCTGAAGTCATAGTGAGTCTTTTCTGAGTTATTTTGAGTACTCATATCTCTGAAGTAGAAAAGCATGTCCTTATTTGATAGTTAATATTTTCCTGAAAGGAAGACCCTTTCCATATTTCCAAATGTGGAAAGAAACAAACACACACTCTCTAAAAACTAAGGGGAAAAAGATACAAAAACCCTTATCGGTAAATAATACGTAAATTTGATGGTGCTTAGTTTATTGTTCAAATCTTTATTTGATCACAATTCTCCTCAAATAAAAGATTGCTTCTCATCATGCAGTATTTTAAAATAGAGGAAAAGCTCTTCCAGGGAATTCAATGTCCTCTTGACCTACCTCTACATGTTAGTTTAAAATAACAGTCATTTGCCAGCCAATTCAGCCATGAACTGTGACTAGGACCACAACACCCCGTGATTGGCCATCTGAAATGCTGCTGATAAATCTTCCATTAGAACAGGTTACACTGCCATCATTAACAAGTCATCAGTCAATCTGCTGAAAGTCATTTTCTATATCATTTCCTCTCGGAAGGCATGAGGGTCACATTGCACCATTAAACGTCCCTGGGAAATCTGAAAAATGTTGAAGATGAAGAGTTGGACATGGTGTATTATTTCCAATTTACAGGATATTTTGAATCTTACACAATCAGACTAGCACACATGGCATTCTCATCATTAGCATCAGAAGTTCCATAAATGCACCATGCGAAGTAGAAGGTTTTACAGTTGCAATTTGCTTACAGACATCAAAAAGAAATTTCATGGAGAGGGGTCGTGGCTTATCGGTAAAGTGCTCATCCAGCACATGCAAGGCCCTGGGTTCGATCCTCAGCACCACATAAAAATAAACAAATTAAAAAAAGTGTAAAAAATTTTTAAAAAAGAAATTACATGGTAGTTATCTAATTCACTTTTTTTTTTTTTTCTCATTAGAAAGCCACTGTAATCCCCAGTGGCTTGGCAGGCGGAGGCAGGAGGATTGTGAGTTCAAAGCCACCTCAGTGAGACTCTGTCTCTAAATAAAATACAAAATAGGGCTAGGGGATGTGGCTCAGGGGTCGAGGGCCCCTGAGTTCAATCCCTGGTACAAAAAAAAAAAGAAAGAAAGAAAGAAAGAAAGAAGGAAAGAAAGTCAAAGCCAGTAAACAAATGCAAGCAAGATACAAATAAATATTGCTGACAATTGCTATCAAGATCAACTCAGAATAACTGAGATATCACTTGGCTGACTGTTAATGGGCTATTTTAGTGAAAATTAGCCTATTACTAGCTTATCTGAGTGTCTCTTTTGAGCTTATTCCAGTTAAAGCTTAATTTTTAGGTGATATTTGAGGATAAACTCCCTAACTTTTCTAAAAATTGAGAGATGTCTACACTACATATATGGATTGTTGGTTCATGTGAAATTATAGGACATTTTTTAAAAATCCCTATTTGATGCTGTATGGATTTGAAATATTTTTCTTGGGTTTCAATTTCTATAATCTGTTTCCTGTGAAGCTTACCATGGCCAGTTTTCTTATGAAAGAGAATCAGTTTCAGGGAGTGACAAAGCCCAAAATATCAAATTTAAGTCCAAAATAAGCAGTCATCATAAAAGAATAATTGATTAATAGATCTTGGTCATTTTGAAATTATTAGCATGCAATTTGCTGACCACTTCTCTAATAGCCACCAGTTCATGACTTGGATTCCTGGAAAATATTATTAATGCAGCTGTTCATGAACCTTTTAAGAACCATAAAAAATATATTTTATGAAAAAATAAATATTTAACATTATCATAATGTCACATAAAATTTTGAGGTGTCTTCCAGGACAGAATATGTTACTGATTTTTCTCCTGTTGAGCAGATTGCTCCTTCTAGGTCTGTTTTGCCAGTTCTATCTCAACTTCCTGATCTCCTAGCACTTAATTGAAGTGTTGCAGAACATACCGTTAGACTCTCTGTAGACACTGATCAAATAAACTTTAATGACTTTAAATGTCATCTAAATGCTGACAATGCTGAAACTTAGACAACTCTCCTAAATTCCAAAGCCATATATCCACTTGCTTCCTCAGTATCTTCATTTGAATATGTTAATAAACATCTCAAGATTTACATATGCAAAACTAAGGTCCTTGGGTCTAACCCTCCCTCTTCCCTGCAGCCTACTCCTCTGCAGTCTTCCCCATCTCAATTAATGGCATTCAGACCAAAAATCCTGAGGTCATCTTTACTTCCTCTCTTTCTCCAACAGACAGCATGCAATGTATTAGAAATGCTTGCTGGCTCTACCTTCAAAAATAGTGGAATGCCACTGGCAATGGAAAGGGTAGACACGCACACATACACACACACACACTCACACACACACACTTAGAAAAGTTTCATCAATGCTACTTTAGCCAAAGAAGCCAGACACAAGAGAGTATGCAAAGTGTAACTCCATTTGCATGAAGTTTGTGAACTGGCTAACATAATTTATGGTGACAGAGATTAGAATAATCATATCCTCTAGGGAGTTACTAAGGGCATTGACTAAAAACACACAAAGGAAAGTTGGGAGAATCAAAACATTCTATACTTTGATTTCAGCGGGTGTTCACAAGGACACATACATATATTAAAATTCATCAAATGGTTCACTCAAATTTTATTGCTTATATATCATACCTCAAATATCTATAGAACATGTATAGCTGATGTCTTCAAAAGGTAAAAAAAACAGTGGAAGTATTCCATAATACAATAGGCTCTTTGAAAAGATTAAGATGTAATTCACATGCTACCCCAGTCATCTAAGCAAAAGTCAAAAGTTAGCATAGGATAATTTAGGACAGGCCCGTGGGAAGCCTATTGTCCAGTGGAGTGAACCCCAAGACATATAGAGGAGACCATGAGATTCTTGAAAAGGTTACACCAACAGAACTAGTTTGAACTGAAAGAGATTGATAAATATAAGAAGGCTGTTATCTCCTAAAATTCTACAGGTAGGAAACAAACTGTTTAAACAACTCAGCTGCAAGCACATGCTAATCTTCATGAACAAGTAAGTTGACCTCAAAAACAAAGCCACAAATCCAGAGAGTGGAGCCAAAAACCATAGAGGATTATTCCTAGGAGTCTAGAAAACACAATACCATTCATTCATCTGGATTTCAAAAATGCTTGAAAACAGTTACTTCTTTCTCCTTTCATTTACTCTCTTTAAAAAAAAAACATTTATTTTTCAAGTGTAGATGGATACAACACAATGCCTTTATTTTTATGTGGTGCTGAGGATTGAACCCAGGTCCCGCCTGTGCTAGGTGAGCACTCTGCTGCTGAGTCACAATCCCAGCCCCAACTCTCTCTTTTGTCTTAAGCTCCTATTCTATGCCTGTCCCATCACTGCATTTCAGGAGTGCTGACTCGTTTCTTGAGTTTCACAAAGTCACAGGAAAGGCTTTAGTAGCTGACTGGAGCAAGACATTTGTCAGTATGGAAGATGAGTGAATGATTTAGATGAGATCTTTTGTTGCTGAAATGGGTTGAGATTTTTGAGATTGGAGAACGAATTTGAGATCAGGTGAATGCATTTTGTATGTAGGACAGATGTGAAACTTTGGAAGATGCTGGGGGTACTAAGTTAGGTAAAATAATGCTCCCCAAGGTTGTTCACATTCGAATTCCTGAAACCTATGAATATATCACTCTGCCTGCCAAAAAAGACTTTTAGTATGTTTCAATTAAGTGTCTTAAGATGTAGAGATTATTATTATTATTATCCAGGTAGGTTCTAGTAATAAGTAAGAGAGTCTTTATAAGTAGAAGAAGGACAGGAGGGAGACAGAGGCAAGAATAGAAACAGAAACAGAGAGAGCAATTTGATGATGGAAAAATAAGCCAAGAGCCAAGGAGTAAAGATGGCCTCTGGAAGCTAGAAAAGACTAGATGCTTCCAGAATGCAATTCTATGACCTCAATTTTGGCCCAGTAGGACTTCAACCTCCAGAAACCTTAAGACAATTAATTTGTGTTGTTTTAAAGTAGTAAGTTTGTTATACATTACAGCATTACAGAATATTACTCTCCTGCATCTTATTTTCAATGTGACAGCTGAAGTAATCCTTTATAAAACATATGTCGGATCACATCAGTTCTTTTGTGAAATCCTCCAGTCTCAAAGCTGCTTCCTTCTTGCACAGAGGAAAAAGTCAAAGGCCTCATCTCCATCTGCAGACACATCTCTTCCTTGCACTACTCACAATACCTTTCCTTCGCTTCACCTCCTATGTTCACTCTCCCCTCCTCAGTGCACCCCAGCCACGTGCTTTAGGCTCCTTCCCACCTCCAGACCTCTGCCCTTGATATATAACTAAAATATTTGGCCTTAGAAAAACACCTTTCTCTCTCTATTCTCTCAGGTCTTTGCTCAAATGTCACATTCTACGTTATGATTTCCCTAGCTTTATTTAGAGTGGGGTATTCCCTGCTCTAGCCTCTCATATTCACAAGTCTCCCTTCTACCTTTACTATTTGGGTTTCTTTTTTATGGCACAAATCATCTCCCAATTTGCTCTAATTTTCTTATTTTGTTCATTATCTTCCTTCTCCCAGAAGAATTAGAGCTCTCTCAGAATCAAAACACCACCCAGAATATAACAGACACTCAAGAAATGAGTGTGACATAAATGAAGTTAATATATTACCTTTAGACACTGTTATGAATTTCACTAATCTCCTTCTCTGCGGAACCAATCTTATATTGATTATAGAAATGTTTCTTCCCCCAGCCAAGGTCTACACATGGAATAACCACTAAATATATATTTATGGCATTTTATGCTCTTTTTTTTTTTTGGTACCACGCAATTGAACTCAGGGGTGCTTAATCACTGAGCCACATCTCCAGTACTTTTTTGTATTTTATTTAGAGACAGGGTCTTGCTGAGTTGCTTAGCACCTTACCATTGCTGAGGCTGGCTTTTTACTAGCAATCCTCCTACCTCAGCCTCCTGAACTGCTGGGATTACAGGCATGTGCCAACAAGTCCAGCTCATTTTTATGCTTTTTAATTGTAGTAAAATATTACTAATGTAAAATTTACCAACTTAATAATTTTTAAGCGTGCAGATCACTCTTAAAAATGATTAAGTTGGTAAGTTGTGTAATCTTCACCACCATCCATTTCCATAATCATTTTATCTTTCCCACCAGAAACTTACTCTCCATTATCTCCTCTTATTCCCACCCCCTAACTCCTGGCAGCCACCAATCAATCTACTTTCTGTCTCTATGAATTTGACTACTTTCAATACCTTATAGAAGTGCTATCATACTGAGAGGGGTCAGACAGATGTGAAGGGTGTTAACATGAGGTGGAGGGAATAATTCTATAAAGTGCACACTGTACTGACCCCACATGCTTTATTTTCTTTATATTTATTTTTTAATTATTTATTATGATTTGTTATACATGATGGCAGAATGCAATTCATTTCATATTACACATATAGAGCACATGTTTCAAGTCACTGAATGCACACAAAGTATTTTCACACCATAGGATCATAATGTCTAACTCATTCCACTGTCATTCCTA